CTGGAGGTGAGATGTAGGGCAAACCCTGTGGTGCCGTGCTAGAGATCCGAGGGTTGTCCCATGCGAGGCACTGGTGGGAGATGTGGAGGCTTTGAAGCTCCACTGGTGTAGTCTTGAAGAGGCAGCTGGTGCGGTCAGGGGATCAGAAAGGTCGAAATGCCATTTGCACCGAGATTTAGGTGCAGGTGGAGCGGAGCTACTGCTCTGCCCTGTCCTGCGGGTGGGAAGCAGCTGGGAAAAATTCCCCTTCGTGGAGGGGTTGCTCCGTGGCTGCATCCAGCCATAGGTGCTGGGCTGACGCATGGCACAGACGCCCTTCTCCATCCCACCAGCTCCCTGGGAGCACTGCGAGCTGGGTCAGTAATGCAAAATAAGGAGGCAGCGATGGCCTGGGGCAGGTTCCGGCATGTCACAGAATCCCAGCATGGCAGGGGTTGGAAGGGACCTCTGTGGGTCACCCAGCCCAACCCCCTGCCGAAGCAGGGTCACCCAGAGCAGGCTGCACAGGACCTTGTCCAGGCGGGTCTGGAATATCTCCAGAGGAGACTCCACAGCCTGTCTGGGCAGCCTGTGCCAGGGCTCCGTCACCCTCAGAGGGAAGAAGTTCTTCCTCATGTTCAGCTGGAGCTTCCTCTGCTTCAGTTTGTGCCCGTTGTCCCTTGTCCTGTCGCTGGGCACCACTGACAAGAGTCTGGCCCCGTGCTCCTGACACCCACCCTGCAGATATTTATAAGCATTTCTAAGGTCCCCTCTCAGCCTTCTCTTCTTCAGGCTGAACAAGCCCAGCTCCCTCAGCCCTTCCTCATAGGAGAGATGCTCCAGTCCCCTCATCATCCTTGTAGCCCTGCGCTGGACTCTCTCCAGTAGCTCCTCATCTTTCTTGAAGTGGGGAGCCCAGAACTGGACACAGCACTGCAGATGGGGCCTCACCAGGGCAGAGCAGAGGGGAAGGAGAACCTCCCTCAACCTGCTGGCCACACTCCTGTTAATGCACCCCATGTCCTGGGACCAGGGCTGAGGTTCCCACCGTCTTTTCTCTTGCGGACCCGAATGCCAGCGTGTCTGAAGGCAGGGACGCTGAATTTACCCAGAGGCTTATTGCTGTGCCGACCATCGACGGGCAGCTGGCTTATCCTTTTCCTTTCCTCGCTTTCTCGCGTGTGTTTAAAGCCACTGCCTAATAGCAAGTAGTAGGCTCGCTCCGTTAATGTTATCTGTGCTCGGAAGAGAAGTGCGTGGAAGAAACCCACCCCCGAAGCCTGGCCTTGCTCTTCGATAGACTCCTGGGTGACAATAGTTTTCGTCAGTGCCAGCATCTCCTCTTGCTGCGGGAAGGTTTGCGCAGCCTCTGGCCCCCGCTCGCCCACCCTTGTTATCATACAAATCACATAATAATAAGGCCAGGGATAAACAGGAACTGCAGTAGCTGTTCGCCGTGTATAAAAACAAATCACATGGAAACAGTATAATTACTGAGAAAATACCAACTTGAGTAATGCAGTAATTGTTTTCTTCCCTCCAGCAGATTTATTCGAGCTCTCCCGGCTCCTGCTGGTTTCGAAGTCTGTGACTTCACGTTAATAAGAAGAATTTTACGTTTCACACTGCACTTGTTCCGCAGCCTGGGTGTGATACGGTCTGAAGCAGGAGATGTTTTCAGCGGCTTCTTGAGAGTGCTAGGGAACAGCACCAGTTAAAATAGCTCTGTCCATTAGAGCCCACCCCAGGCTGTGGGTGGACTCTGGGTCCTTGCAGACCTCTTTTCAACCCATTTTTGTGATTTAGAAGAAGGGCTGCTTCATGCCTTGTGTCAGTCTGGGAGCTCTGCTTTTTGGAGTTCACCACTGCACGGAGATTGTTTTTTGCCTTCAGTTTTGGTTTTCCCTTCCTCTTGCTGCTTGTCATCGCCTTTATTCAGAGAGGAGCTGGTGAAATGGCAGTGACCAGTTATTTGAGGTCTGGGGACATTGCTTCTCTCTATTGCTGTCATCATCTCCTGATACCAGATGATGATGGGTTTTGTGCTGTGACTTGCAGCTCTTCCCCTTACTCAGCTTTGCTGCTGTTTTGCTTCAAATGCTGCAAGGTAAAAAGATAAAAATGTGTCAGCAGCCAGGTTTCCAGAGGGCATTATGCTAGGTAGGAGTTCAAAGATGCCTTGTCTTTGTTTCATATGCGCAGAGAGAAGTCTTTCTCCTGCGTTCTTGGCGGGTAGCTTGCTTTCCTTTAGAAAAATCTCACCACCTGCAAGCCACTGCTGCTTCCCCTTTGCACACTTTAATGTGAATGAGATTTTATGAGCATCTAATGTGTCATCTGCTTTTTGTGGTTGTCCTGCTCCTCTTGTCTTGGAAAAAAAGAATCGCAAAACCACCAAAAACGCCCCCAGTAACCATTGTAACAGTCTCCCAGTTGTGGAGAACACAAAGTCTTCCTGCTGCAGCAGGCTGACCAATTTTCACGTCTAATCATGGCGAAGTAAAACCAGACAGGATCTGCTCTTCAGGATTCTCCCCAAACCTTTGATATTCTTCTAGTTTCTCTTCTAAACGGATGCTGGAAACAACCAGCTTGGCCTTCTGCTGTGTCTGTGCTCTTCGGGCTGGGCGAGGAAGGGGTTTTGGGTGGTCCTTCGCCCGCTGTCCATGGATGACAGCAGTGGGAAGGGCATTGATGCCTCCAGGCTGCACCCAGCAGTGGTTTCCTCCTGGCTGGCTTGATGTCTCCTTCAGCTAGAACAGGGTTTAGCAGGGAAGAGGAGGAGGAGGAAGGCACCAGGGAAGTGTACTGGTGTCCTGGGACATGGACACTTTGTTGGGAAACATCCTCTTTTGCCTCACCTTGTCCAGCTTTGCTGTAGATGACATTGCCCATCACTTATGGAGAGCAATAGGGCAGAGCTCACCTCCGCGAGCTGGCAGGGACCACCTTCAAAGCCAGGTCCCCTGCAGCTGTGCTGGGCTGCGGGTGCAGCCTCCCCGGGAGGAACCTTGCCCTGCTCCATCCCCACCTGTGTGGTTCTGCTTCTCGGATGCTGTTGAGATGTGGAGCGCTGCCAAAGTGGCATCCGCACGCTGGCCACGTTTGGCGTGAGCAGCAACACGGCCGGTGAACGACCCGGGGCCGTCATCCCTGTGCCTGGCCGTCCGGAGGAGCACAGAGGGTTCTGTGCCACTGAGCTCCATCCTGCCACCCTTGCAGGAGGCCCGGCCCTGCGAGAGGGCTGGTGGGTTGTCCTGGCTGCTCCCCCGCCCCCGGTCGGCATGGAGAGGAGGACGCTCAGCGCCAGTTGGTCCAGAACAATGTCGGCTCTGTCCGCGGGCACAGCGCTGCTGTAAGGAAGGTAGCAAAGTGGTGTGAACTTCTTCGCAGGTTCTCCTGCCCCGTCCCTTCCCCGTCCCCTCCCCTCCCCAGCAGCTGCAGCATGCCGGCTGCCCGGCCAGGCAGCGGTTTATGGTTACAAACCAAGCCGCATCTCCTCTCCCCCACTTCCTGCCCCCGCCAGGAAAAGAAATCCATCCACTCACTAAGCAAACGAGTAGATGAACTTTTAATTAAGGTGTTGGGTAGCTGCCAGAGAGGAGCATCCCGGGTTGGGCTGTTCATGTGCCGTGATCCCTGTCTGCGTGGCCGGTGGCTGTTAAACAGCTGCCTGGTCCCAGGTGTGTTCATCAGTGGGGGCTGACCTCCTCCAGACACGCAGCTCCTGTTTGCAGGAGATGGGCTCCTGCGTTCGGAGCCGGAGAGAGGACGGGTGGTGTGCAGGTGAGGCGGCGTGGCTCCGGGGTGCTGCCCGGAGACCAGCTCGTTGGGCTCAGCAAAGTCCTTGCGTGGCTGGAGGAGGAGCTGAGTGTTCCCCTGCATTTTCCCTCTGCCCCCAGCTCACCGTCAGTAGAGCTGCTCCTGGTGACGGCCGCGGAGGTTGTGCCGATCCGTCTGGTCTCTGATTTGAAGGGTCTTGTTGAGCTGAGAGCTTCTTTACCTGGAATTTTAAAAGCTGGTTTTCGTCAGTTTGGTCTATTTTTATCGCAGCTGACCTCACCTATCCCCATTCTCTCCATTTCTGGATGGATGCATTTGACAGCCAGAGCTCCCACCAGAATTTAGCAAGAGATGGAGGAGGACCTCCATGAAGGAGATGGGAGTCATCTTTCCTCCCAGGGGCTGCCCTCATAGCCCCTGCTCGTTCAGCGTGGTTAATGTTGCTCTTCTCTCTGGCATGGCCGTGGCTGTGTCAGAGGAGGACACGTCTGTCGCTACCTCATGTTTGTGGAGAAGATGTAGCCTTGAGCTGGCTGCTGAGATGTGAAGGGACGGTGATGCCGGGAGCTCCTGAATATGGATGGGTTTATTGATCCCGTCGGAATGCGGGCAGCACTGAAGGTGTGGGAGCCTCCAAGGCTCTGTCAGAAGGAGGAGCAGCTCGTGGCTGTGTCAGAGGAGGACACGTCTGTCGCTACCTCATGTTTGTGGAGAAGATGTAGCCTTGAGCTGGCTGCTGAGATGTGAAGGGACGGTGATGCCGGGAGCTCCTGAATATGGATGGGTTTATTGATCCCGTCGGAATGCGGGCAGCACTGAAGGTGTGGGAGCCTCCAAGGCTCTGTCAGAAGGAGGAGCAGCTGCCATGTCCGG